GAAGAAGATATGGAGCGTCCGTGGGGTGTTCGAAGGCTGTGATTCCCAGGCATCGAACACCGAGAGTTTGACTCTGACTTCCGTCAGGCACAACCAGTGAGCTACTGTTAGCGGTGACCGGAGAGGACATAAGTGTAGTTGAAGAACGGGATGTGGTACCATTTGTGAGTGGAGGTTGATCAATAGAGACAGAAGAGCCAGTGGACATAGCAAGAGCGAAGTTAGTAGTAGAAGAATCCATCCATGATTCGCCAATGGGCGTGCTACTAGCCGGTTACCCAGGCCGAAGTAGAGGGTTGTCTTAGGGTGCCCTACCCCTAAGCTTTCATCAGGGATCTAACTTACAATGCAGAAGGACAATGTGAGGGCGTCGCAAACCGTTTGGAACCAGTGACCAGCAAGTAGTTCATACACCTTTAGGACCGCAAAGGGCCGGGGCCCAATCCACCCTGAAATCACAATACCACTCAGACAGAGGCAAGGGGCAATGACTTTATTTAATGGCGAATCACATCCGCTACGCCTCAGTGTTATTGAACGGTTTTTATAGGGAGAACGGTTGCCAGGCAAAAACTTACCACGTCCTAAAACACTGCCGCCGAACCATTTGCTGGAACGGGAGATTCCCGAACCACCTAGCTGGTACCACAAGGATTGTTTGACAAGCCACCTTTTTACCAGCAAGGGGAGCCGCGTTTCTATCGGTGGTACTGTCGCAAAGATGTTCTATTTCTCTTCATCAAGGCCCGGTCTACGTTCGTCAAGCCAGGGCGCATTTATTATCATCGGGATGCCACCCTCGTTAAAGCTTCGGGTATACAGGGTTCATTTTCATACGGCGCAATCTATGGAAATGTGTTTTCATCAATCACCGACCTTTGACAATGGGTGTTTTAGGAGGATTACTCTTGTTTGTTGGCAACACAAAGTTTACAGCCTTGAACACGAATGTTGTTGCCTTGAAAACACAAATCTTTCCTTCAACCAGCTTGTTTTGGGTCGCTTATTGCGCTTGCTCATTTATATCTTACGTGCGTTGTGCAAGACTTAACCGCAATGTTCACTATTCAACCATGCAGAATTAGATTAGTACATATCATATGGGAAGGAACATGAAATTGCTGACTTACATCTCGCCACCGTTGGTTGCGTGCGTCTTTTTGGCTGGAGACTCGAGTACAAGGAATGTCAATGGCAGTGGGCTCTTAAAATCATGCACTCAATTGAAGCCATTGGAAGAACTCCGTATGTTAGTGCTCACCATCATCGTCATTACACATTACCTGAAGGTGAAGCACACACTTCAACTAATGTGCCGCAATACATAAAGACGACATACGAAAAGCAGTATACGGAACACTATCGAATGTAGAGAAACAGGAAACACACTATGTGTAACAGATTATACGTCAAGTGAGATTGCGCTTGAAGGGGGAAGGTAAGCGCGATGGGGAGGGACAGTGTAACCCACAACACAAACGCCATTGAGGTCGGTTCTTTGCCATGTTAACTAATGTATCCAACCAGACTTGTTCCTCATCCTTCAGACCCCAATCAGACAGTCGGGACACATCAGCCGACGTCAATTTTAGTATCCAAACTCATGTGTTTAGTACGGTGTCATTCAAATGAAAAAATGACGATATATAAAGGAAATAAATATACCCGTTTTCATGCTAATCCCTTTTGCTTTCTATTATATTTCTTCTATTTAAACCAACGAACGAGCGCCTCATTGTTTCCTACGTGCAGACTAGTGAACATAACTCAAATCTACTACGACTCCACTAATCCTAAACGACGTCCAACGGATAGGCCTACTTGCGTGCGACAACACGATCCCGATGATTGCAGAGCGAAAATGTGAGAGGAGACTGGCCTTAACTAGTTGTTTCTACTGTGAGGCAGGGGTAAACACATGGTTACATTTTCTGCTATTTTAATGCAATGAATTCCTTGTGTAGTGTACGTGTTTGTCCAAACAATAGCTTGTTTTGTAGGCCAGTTAGAGTAGGCCAACCCCCCGGTAAAAAATTAACAAGAATGGCAGTTTACAGCATGCTGGAATCTATCCAGAGGCGTAGGATAGGGGAACTGTCCGCCCCGGTTGGCAGGTGACAGGTGGCGACACTTTTGGTACCACCGATTGTTCTATCCCAAACATAAAGGGCAATACATCCGAATAAGCTGAGGTTGAATTATTCTAATGTTACTCTGTATGATAAACACCACATCTACGCCATGTGCCACATCTGTGTGAACGTTCAACCCGGCAATTCATTTACTTGCCCCATTGTGATCACTTTCTCCACATTAACGTCAGTGTTCTAAACGATCATTTATTTCATCGAAAACGAATGTACACTATACCATTAGCCGATTGTGTGGCCTTCACGCACCTATTCTGTTCTCAGGGCGAAAATTTTATTTCCGCTCCGGGCGCCAAAAGTAGTTGTTACGCCACTGAATCCATCGGAGACCAGAGACGTGAGTTCAGGCGTGTGTCAAATTGCACTAAACAGTCTGCTCTATCTATGGCTTGATTGATCATATGTGTCGACCTCAGATCAACACTAATCTGTTGATCGATTCTTTTTCTGTCTGTTTCGTTTCGGCCCTTAGGCATTAGCCGGTTTTGACCTGTTGATTTAATCTTATTCCGAAATTTGGGTCAGATGATTGTTTTGACTATGGGTCGCGAGTTACGTTGATGTGCGTTCCGGAAACAGCACCTTCCCCTTAGTTTGTTCGTACGTTCTCCTTCTAGGGTCACGTTATAGAGTCACCGGCTTCCGTGCAATGCTGAATTTGCGTCTGGGCTAGGATGCGATGTCTGTCATTAGCACCAGGTTACGAGTCGTTCCGATCTCAGTATGCCTTTTCATTTTGAATGATTCCAATAGAAGATCAAGGCTAAGTGACCCCCTCATTTTAGTACAACAAAGCGCTCACCGAAGTTGATTAGCGTGGCGCCTCCACAGCCGGGCACCGAGTTAGACGTCTTACAGAACGCACCCAATAAGCCTTTTAATGATACCGACAACCAATCTTTGATGATGCAGCAACACAACTTAACCTGGTGGCAGTAAAAATGGAACACGCAAAAACAACAATGCAAATCAATGCAAAAATATTCTTCTGCTTTGCTTTACATGATGCATTAAAAACGAGCTCGTGGTTAGGTGGTGGGGCTAAGATATAGGAAGTGGAATGAAATACCTCACAACACAGACGCCATTGTGATCAGTTTTTCCTCATATCAATGAGTGTGTTCATCAGCTTTCGGACCCCGGCTGGATAATCTGGAGTTTTTAACCTAGGCCAACTTCAAAGTGAGGGCATTTATTTCTCTTTACTAACTCGTCCGTAGGTCTCCGCTCCATATCAGTGACGTATGGCTTCCTTGACTCACCAGCATTGTTTTGTTGGAAGAGCCCACGGCAGTTTCCCGCAATCTCTCTGCCTTCGTTTCCCAGGCCGTCCTATACTACCGAGTTTCCTCCACGCATTACAGGCCCCGTTTTGCCATCAGGACGAGACTGGACCGTAACCTGATGCGATGATTTGTGTGCATCAGTGATCCGTTGAGTTACGCTGGGTGGTACTTTTTACACTTTCAGAGCCACTCATACCACATCGATCAATAGTTAGAGGCCACACAAACTCAGTCTCCTGGCCCTCCAGGTTGGGGCTTAAAGTAATGGTGGCTCCTTACTCCATAAAAAACTTTTTGTAGCCCAGTGCCAAAACTCCGCCACCTTGCGGTAAGGTTTAGGAACCGAAGATTTTAGCTGAAAACCCTAATTGTTTTCCTGTCTAGTTTTGGGCAACCTGACAGTATCCTGCCCGCGAAATACAGCTGTATGAACTTCACTCCACACGATTTCTTGATGTTGTGACAATCGCAAAAGATAATCAACGTAACCCTATCTGCTACATCAAGCAGGCTGGATAGTGGCTTTGATGCTACTGCTCAGGCCTTCCCGCTTTCTTATTCCCCCTCTTACGCTCTTCATCCTTAGCGTCCGCTCCAACCACTTTTATCCCCTTGTTTTCAATCTCCATATTCTTAGCCCTCCCCCACCTTTCCGCATTAGTTACTTGTCTTTAGGTCTCAACTCGCACACAATCGCAAGGCGTCGCTCCGTTCCAGTCGACAAGTCCATGTACAACCAAGCGGACAACGTCAGTTTATCCGTTTCCCTTTGGAGTCCTCGATCTTCGCTAAGACTTGCATGCTCCAATGTGCGCACTTTGCTGCAGATCGACAAACAGGCAGTACTTGCCCGAACACTTGAGACCCTATCGATCGATAATTGCTGTTTATCAGAAGCCCGGGTGCGAGATTCGAGCTCCGTGCTTACTCTGCGATCCCCCGCATACGACACTGGCGGCACATTCTCATTGCGCCTGTCTGGCGACGACGCAGCTTCAGATGCCGGTCAAGCTGGCGTCTGCATTGTTTTGGGTCCTCGGGCTGAAGCTGCCCTGATGGATTTGATCCCAGTCAACAGTCGGGTGCGTCGTTAGATTGGCTGGCTCGTTCTAGGCTTCGAAGTTGTGCGGGAACAAACGGTGCTTGTTTATCATTGCGATCCATTCCCCCCACAAACTGCAACACTGCTTCTGTGAAAGATGAATTCTATAGTCGGCTGAATACGCTCCTCCGTTACAGAAGAAGCACGGATAACGTGGTGCTTGCTGGTGAACTCCTAACTCGGAAATTATCCTCTGATGAGCTTCATCTGGGTGGCCAACATGGTGTAGGCTCCCGTAATGATAACGGTGAGCGGTTGCTACACCTTTGTGAAGATGCTCGTCTTTTTCTATCATTCAGACTCTATAATCCGTATATGTTAATAGTGTTACGGCTTGTGCCTTTGCGTGACACTGATACATTTATAGCATGAATTGGTATACAACTTTCTTCCATGCACGTTCGGTGAGCGCTTGCTCATCTTATCCTCACAATGCCTGGACTCTTCATATCCTTATTTTCAGCTCTAAATGCGGCGCGTATGCACGTCAACTAGGCTTAGGGAACTCCGCACTCTCCTACGTTCCCACCAATTGCAGGCGTACATAAATCCTTCTGAGGATGAGCACTTTAGTGAATATGTTGACGCATCGGACAAGCGGAATGCCTTCATCTCCGGTTTCTCGGGGTCAGTGTCTACTGTGATTGTCACACTAGATAAGGCTGCTTTGTGGACCGATGGGCGGTATCATTTGCAAGTGGGTCCACCTTCGTTTATTCTCACGACGAAATATTTTAATAGAACTGATAGATATATTTTTGCATTCACTCCTTTCATTTTTTGGTATTGCGGTTACATGGACGATACTGATTTCTCGTCCAAGAGACACTCACTTTTGATTTCCCATCCTCATTTGGCCGTAGCTTTTAGTAGGGCTTCCTGTCTGACCTCCGATTTAGCCTGTGACTCCTTGATGTTTGTCAGTTCATATACTATTTTTCTTATCGTGGTTGATAGGGCTTTTAGCGTTACTGCATCAGAATGCTTACAATTGCGATGGGTAAAATCGATCTGCCTAACGAGTTTCCCTTCGTGTGTCACTCGTGCCATTCATTTCACTTCCTCCTCGAAGATTTCACAGCTGTGTACACTTGCAGTTTTCTTGCTTGTCTCTTTACCTTGTTTGCTCCCGAATCCTGCGTAGCTCATCTTTTTCCTCATCAGTTCGTAGTTGTTCCAAACGTGACAGCAATAACTTGTGTTGCACGAACATCCCCGAAACCTTATCATATCCCGGTTCCTCCTCCGGAAGACACGCCCTTAGTGTTGTATTCGCATTGTGCCAGCGGTGGTAAACCATTATTGTAGTGTGGTGCTCTCTCTCATTATCAGGAGCCGTCCATGGCGCTCGTTCCCTCTGTCAGCTAAGCTGAGCGCCTAACCCGTAAACTGCTGCATCCTATGACGAAGTTTTGTACGGAGACGGTCACCAGCCTCTCGCCAACCTCGGGTGTGGAGTACACCGGGGCTACTTCTTTATAACACCGAACATCTTGCCTATCGGGCATTATTACCTATGAATACACTTAAAAAGTGTCACCCTGCTAGTTCCGGAGATCACGAAAGCCTTGAAACAGACACCACGCTAAGCTCTTGTTTCGTTGCATAACAAAGCAAGCACAAAAGGGGCGGCTGGAATAGTAAATCTTAACGCATACTTATTTGTTGACTGAAACATAGCGTCTTCTGATTCCGTCTGAATTTCACCCATTCATGCTGTTATGGAACTGGACCGATTGGTTATCAGATATCACAGATACTGAGTGGCTACTTGAAATGGTCGATCTATTCACCTGTTTCCCCGCTGATCGCCTCCGGTGCAGATTGTTCCATGTTTCATGTGGTCCTTCTAGCCCTGAATCATCTTTGGCGGCGGCATTGTGCTTACTTATAAGATCAAAGAGTTCAACTCGGCTGTTCAACCAACGCATGAACCCTGCTTACTGGACAGTCCGTTTAGTATAGCCATTGTATATAGGAAACAGCGATTTAACGATACGGCGTCCCGCTAGCTAGTGCTTAAAGACATACCTTTTGGTGTTACCATTGTGCTGCTATTAGATTCGAACCATCCTCATTGAGAGTTCGTTTTTCGTATCCCTTTCTGTTGTTTAATTCGGCACCACGTTTAATTGGGTAAAGCCCCAGTGTGTTCGATCAACGATGCGGTTTAAAAACATGAAGTGACTGCCTGAAATACTTTTTCACTTTGGTGCAAGCCTTCTTCCTGTCTTAGGTCCACTGGTTTGGTTCAAAGGGAGGTGGAAGTTCCACATCGCCCATCCATGAAGCGAACGGAATTTTTGCGTAGGGCTTAGTACCCCTAGTTAACCGGCATTTCCGAGCGGGAAACGCCCTACATCCATCTGTTCCCTCACTTACGGTCCCAATGACCGAATTGGCCAACGTTCACCTCAATTCGAATCTCGATCTACATTGAGGTTGCGCGTCGCAATTCATTCACACAGAGAGGGCTTCAAAAAGTAACCCATCCAATGAATAATGTCTTTTCGTTTCTTCTTCATTGTGGTGCTATGATTGTTTGCTTGTGTCCATCTTCTTTTCCTGCTTTCCTCATTTACTGGTATACATAGTCGACGTGCATCGTGTCCACCGTTCTTCGCTTCCCAACTGTGAATTGCCTGATTGAACTGAATTAAGCTTGTTCTTAAGTGCTAGTGAGAACCAGTTGTGTTTTGGGTCATTTATGATGATGCAAAGCCCATGCTAAACATGCTGTACCATGCTTAAATCCACTCGGAAGAGATTGAAGAAGAACTGATACATCGTCCACATACTCTATGGCTACTGCTCAACCACCTGTCTGGGTTTAGATTGCCGACGTACCGGCAACACTCACGCTTGTTTCGATCATAAGTAAAAGTGAAGTTGAGAAGTGCAGAAATCTTGACACTGTCCATTTGTCTTGATGAACTAAAGCTACAGTCTTTCGTATTCCTACACACAGCTTCTAAAGTTACAGTGCGAGTATTTCAGAATGGAAATTTATCCCACTGATGGGTGACAGACTTTAAGACACTACAGATCGAAGCAGACTGCTACTTCTACCTGTACGTTCCTACCTTATGCCTGTTGACTTGAGCCGTTAGATCAACAACTATTAGGTATCGTCTTTAGTCGCTGCCAGCTCACACAAGATCTCAGCAGCGCTGGTTGCTTTTTGTGCCAGCGTCCCAAATGAGTACGAGCAACCGGACAAACAGGGGGGGACATTGGATCGAATGAATTTCTCTTTAAAATGTCCGGTTAATCGCTCAGTTTTCCGAACGTGAGATTGGATTTCTTGCCCGTCTTTTTTAATCATGGTTTCACCCACTGGCCTTCTTTGGACCTGACAATCGTTTTGAAACATTGCATAGGTCGAGTTATCGAAGATGTAGGCGCGATTGTTCCTTGACATGAAAAGCCCATTAGGCCCAGCAATAATTGTCCCTTTGAGTTGTTTCCTTGCGTCGCAACTGCTTTGCTTATCGGATGCCCAGTTATGCGAGGACTCACACATGTTCCCCTATTTCATCAGCAATTTGTCACCACGTTCTTAGTAAACAGGGTGCCCGTTAGACTCCTCGCTTTGGATCTTCCTTTTTACGACAATCTCACTTCTGACGAGCACATTTGCGTGTGGCTCATTACGTGCCAAATGTACGCGTCTGCGCCGATATCAGCAACGACAGTCGCTTTTTACTTTTACGCGTGATTTCGCATAAATTCACGTCTCACAATTCGGCGCGTCACAAAAGTGACATTTTACTTTGAATATGCGCAGATATCAATCGACTAATTCACCTCGTTTTTTCCCAGGCATCCCATGAACTAGACCAGAATTGGACTCTTATGAAAGCAGGCCTTCCTTCCACACTTACTGAAGCTAACTGGTTGGTAGAAAACACTTCCCCGGATTCTCGAATTGGCTACGATCCTAGGTTGATACCCTTCTTGAAGATAAAGCATTATCAGGATGAACTAACTGAGGCCGAGTTCAAGACCAATCCGAGTGAGGGGGACCACCAAATTCCAAGTCGTCAACTGATTGCAGTTACGGACGCCAACTTGATCGATCTTGCGTGGGATGCAACCTCTAAGATGCCTATGGAAGATTGTTCGCGTCCCCCGCGACCAGCGAATCCGATTTTCAGCATCCCCACTTCATTTTCCGGTGACTCGTGGCAGACCAAACTACAACGCGTTCGAGACCAGATGCTCATGAAGGGAGCCGGTATGCTTGTTGTCTCAGCGTTGGACGAAATTGCTTGGCTGCTGAATCTACGAGGCAACGACATCCAGTACAATCCAGTTTTTTACGCACATCTTATTATCACTGTGCCAAGGATCGATATTTTCCTGACCAATACCGCTATGGTCGAATCGAGGGACATACTCAACGCGCAATTCAGCGAGGACAGTCGGTCGGTATGTGAGCTTACTCACTTTCATGTGCGTGGAACCATTCTTGACTTTCGAAGCTGTGCTAGCCGTACAGTTTCATTAGCATTCTTTGTGAGGACCTTTAAAAAGCGACATCACTCCGTTGGATTGATCAGCATATAAAGTAGCACATTTCTCGATCTACCTCCTCTGCTCATCCATTACTCCGAGCGTTCTTGTTTTCAACTTTCCTTTCTATTTTCTCTTTCCACTCACTGCCGTTAAATTCTGATGCATTTGAAATGTAGGGTATCCAACCTACTGCCCCATCTAACTATTCAATACTATGTCCCAGCCTAGTTAATCTCTGATGGATGATGACACGGCGGAGCGTCCCGCTCATCTTTCTCACGCCATTAAGTTTTGGACTTTTTGTTTGCAATAGAACCATCTAGTACAAGTAAGTGGTTATTTCGTTTATATCTGAATCCGGCTCTTATACTCCTACATCAACTCAGATTGATGTTCATCCCTATACGGAATTTTTCGATCATCTTGCGATCAAAATATCCGAGACATCTGATTCCCGCTCTCGCGTCTGGCTCGACCACACCGCAAGTTACGCGGTTGTGTCCCGGGTACCGGAGTCGAGGCGTCTGATAGCCGCATCACCAATTGCATCATTGAAAGCCGTTAAAACAGACGCTGAACTGGCCGGTATTCGTCAGGCACATGTGACGGATTCTTTTGTGTTGTGTGATTTTCTTGCCTGGTTAGACGAAACCGCTGCTCGTAATCGTGCTCTGGGTACCGATAACCAGGACGCTTCCATGCGTGGCGATTTGTGCCCTCCGGCTGGCGATCCTCCCATTCCAGCACCTGATCGCCTCACTGAAGTGTCTATTGCTCATTACCTGGATGTACTGCGTTCTCAGTCGCCGAATTTCGTGAGCCTCAGTTTTAGCACCATCTCTGCAGCAGGTGAGTACTCATTTGATGCGACCTCAAGATAATCCTCATACTTTTCCTATTGCATGCATCGCCAGCCTTCAAAATAACATTGAGTCTATTTTAGCCACTGAACCTTTCTTAATGATAATAATAATAATAATAAATATAATTCCCGGATGTGATAGAAGCTGTTCCAGTAATAGGCACAAATCACTAGGTACAGTTGTGATCACGTTGCCGCTTGAATGAAATAAGGACTCGGCAGTGTCTGTGTTTATAGGCAGGTTACGGTGCACCGTCTTTGGTGCTGTTTTTGTGTAACTTTTTTCCTCAGGCTATATATTTTTTAGGCCATTCTAAACGAATTCCTTGTGCTGTTTTCCCAGTGGAACATGACCTTTACCGATTTCTAGTTGAGGTATGTATCAGCTTTAGTGCGGGATGTTCTTGTATAAGGCCTAATTGTGACTGGTATGCTATTGCCCTGGACAGCAGTTAGAGCGAAAATCTGTCCTGGTTCTTCCAACAAAGTCTCCGAGTGTTGCACTTGTAATGTGGACAGATCGTAATGTCTTCTGGTTTATCAGGTTGTGTTTCATTCGTCACAACCAAGGAGCTTCGATATGAAGCTGCTGGCAACATTCCTGACAGCCCCTTGCGAACACTTTATTAGATACATGTTTGGTGAATGCCATTTGAAGGTTCTCCAGAACATTTCCGTCGCTTAAACGCATCTTCTCGTCATCATTTCAGTTGTCGCT